GGCACCTGCTTGTGGAGGATGGTTTAAAGGCTAGAGGTAGCGTGGAGCTGCTGGATCTGAGGGATAGAGCAGCCGTAAGGCAAAGCTAAGGTGCCTAAGTTAGAAGGATGCAGAAGGGATGGAAGACACCCGTCTTTAGGCCAAATTCATATAGCAACAAGTAACCTGGCTGCAGCAGCTTGGGAATCAGGAGGCCACGCTGATTCTGCCTTATGCCTATAACCCGGACGAGGAGGATGAGCCTGCCTACAATTTTCTTACCTCTGCACCAGACTATCATGGAAGTGGCACTAGCTAGACTAGATAGAGATAATTGGCTGGCTTCTAGGGATGGAGAGTACCAGCTGGAGAATAGGACTTGGATCTGATGGTGCTTCGAGTAAGTGAGTGCTAATGAACTAGACTAATGACAAAGAGCATGTCACTATCTACAAGATTAGGTTGGTGGCTAAGAAGTTTCAGAAGAAGGAAAAGCAGGACTTCAACGAGAACATTAATCCACTACCAAACCCCCTACCCTTCGTGTCTTGTTGGCAGATGCAGCCGTTAGTGGGAGGCAGTGTTTTTTCAGACACCAACGGAATTCCTTCACCGGCTTTTAGGGTAGAAGGCGTACATGATGTTGGTGTAAGGGCCTAATAAACTCAAGCTATTAGGACTTAATCAAACTTAAACCTCTCCTCGGGGTCACCTCCAAGGGTCCTTGGGTGCCTGGTACAAGACCAGCCCCTATCCCCGGTTTCGAGTTTGTAGAGAGAGGAACCAAGAATGACACAGCCAAAATAACAAGAGTACCTTGAACGTCGCGCAGCGTATCGTGCAGACCGTCGATCGGATTAAGCTGAGAAGTAGCTATGTCGAAGCTCGCTCCAAGAGCTTTAAAATAAGCCAAGTTGCCTCGCGAAAAGTTCTGCCATTACGAAGTTATGGCTCGGACAGCGTTTGCCTAGCGTTGGAGTGCTAGCGTACTAGCGTTGACTCAGGTAGCATTCCGCCGTCGAACCGCGTAGAAACGAAATTCCAGCAAGGAAGGAATCCGCTTGAATCAATTGACTATATCCAGGTACAAACAGAGAAGGAATAAATAGCTCTAGCTAGTTACATTGGGAATTAACCTGGAAACAACCAGGGATGATCCCAAATAATTCCAAGCAACAGAACCAACCTGGCTGGACAAAATAGCAGGTGGTAGGTTGGTAAACAACCTCTGGTTCTGTTTTTCCAACCTGGGAAAAGAACAACCAGGTTCAGGTTCTAAAAACAGAACCTGTTTTGTCTTTGCCCAACCAGCCAAATGCTGGTTCTGCTGGTTTCCCCTGGCCTTGTAGCATGCAGATACAGATAAACAACATCCAACCTTCACCTAAATTGTACCCCTTTAGTGCCTGCCCTGATACCATAGTCAACCAAACAAAACAGTACAATTTCAAGTTGGATAGAACTGAATCTGCGCAATCAATTCAACCGAACTACAAAGCTTCCATCTTGGGTTCCTTTGCGAGCTCGTCCTTTCTGCTTGCACTGTTCATATCGCGTACAATGTTGTGCCGAAGCGCACATTGCGCAAGTACCTGCAAATGCTTCAAGCAAAAATTGTATACACGAGCATACCATTGACACACAAATGCATTCGCATACGCATACTTGTATAAACAGACGGCAGGATGTCGTGCAATGTGAATTTGCACCCAACACATGACGCAGTCACCTGGGTACGAGGGTGGTATCGGGCAAGGTATGCAAGCTCAACACATCTACGGCTTAAAGCGCCACGCTGCTGTTGGCAGCTGCTTTAGAGGAGATGGGATTCGAGACAGCTGCTGTGATGAGATTGAGAATGAGCGCATGTCGGCAATTTCCCTGCCAGCCAAGTTCAAGCTTGTGAGGGCTGCTAAGGATGAAAGGGTTGAAGCTGAGGAGCAGCAGCATATTCAGTTGTTGGCGGGCAGCCTCTTGTATGCAGCAGTTGAAGGATATATGGAAGGATTTACGAAGCAAACAGAGACAGCACTTTCTTCGGTAAATTTGGACTACGTGGCGATGTTCTATGGGTAAAAGAGGTAATTTGGCTAAGGAGGCTGTTAGGGAAGATTGAGCTGAAGGTTCCTACACCACTCTATTTGTTGGTGTAAGGGCCTAATAAACTCAAGCTATTAAGACTTAATCAAACTTAAAACCTCTCCTCGGGGTCACCTCTAAGACTCTTTGGGTGCCTGGTACAAGACCAGCCCCTATCCTCGGGTCCGAGTTTGTAGAGAGAGAAGTACTAAATGACTTAGCCAAAAATAACATTACCTAGAACGTCGCGCAGCGTGAAGTACAGACCGTCGATCGGACAAAGCCGAGAATTCGCTGTATCGAAGCTCGCTCCAGGTGCTTTGAAATAAGCCAAGTTACCTCGCAAAAAGTTATGCTTTTTCGAAGTTATGGCTCGGACAGCGTTTGCATAGCGTTGGAGTGCTAGCGTACTAGCGTTGACTCGGGTAGCATTTCGCCGTCGAACCGTGTAGAAACGAAATTCCAGCAAGGAAGGAATCCGCTTGAATCAATTGACTATATCCAGGTACAAACAGAGAAGGAGTAAATGATTCTAGCTAGCAAGGACCTTGGGAATCAACCTTGAAACAACTAGGAATGATCCCAAATAAATCCAAGCAACAAAACCAACCTGGCTGGACAAAATAGCAGGCTGGACAACAACCTCTGGATCTGTTTTTCCAACCTAGGAAAACAACAACCAGGTTCAGGTTAAAAAAACAGAACCTGTTTTGTCTTTGCCCAACCAGCCAAATGCTGGTCCTGCTGGTTTCCCCTATCCTTGTAGCATTCAGATACAGACCGACAACATCCAATCGTCACCTATATTGTACACCTATTGGGCCTGCTCTGCTATACTATAATCAACCAAACAAAACTGTACGATTTCGAATTGGATAGAACTGAATCTGCGCAATCAATCAAACCGCAAAGCATCCATCTTGGGTTCCTTTGCGAGCTCGTCCTTTCTGCTTGCACTGTTCGTAGCGCGTACAATGTTGTGCTGCAGCGCACATTGCGCGAGTACCTGCAAATGTTTCAAGCAAAGATTGCGAAAGCACACAAACACGCGAACACACCATTCACATGGCAAATGCATTTGCATATGCATACCCGTACAAACAGACGGCAGGATGTCAAGCAAAGTGAATTCGCTCCCAATACACTCCCCCTCTGCCTGCGGGCTGCATCCCATCATTCCATGCTAGTTTATGCACATTCCACTCATGTGCACACAACGCCAATGAGGCTCATTTGCTGGCTGCTGGTAAGTCTTGATATAGATTAGATTCACCGTCCCCCTCTTCACCTCCTTACACAGCCAGTGTCATTTGGTACCCATGTGCTTGTTCAGCCCATGAAGCACAGCGTTCGTGGCCATCCCAAGAGCCTCCTTGCTATCACAAAATTGCGGCGTAGGAACCTTCTGCTCATGGCAAAACTCATCAGCCAAATCACCTCCTTAGCCTCCTCAGCCAAATCACGTCCTTCACCCCATGGAACATCGCCATGTACTCTGATTCAGCAGAAGAGAGTGCTGTCTTCGTCTGCTCTTAAGCCTCCAACTAACAGGTCATCCCCCAACTACGTAGATGTATCCTCCCACAGATGAGGAATCCTCCTTCTCAGAAGCCCAAGTAGCATCAGTAAAGCAAGTGAGAAAGAGCTTGCCTTCTATAAGCCTCTCCCTCTTCTCTTTTAGCACCTTAATCCCTTTCTGCTTCGCCTGTACAGATGCGGAGTATTGAACTCCAATGCTTGGGTGAGAGTTCAGGTACTTCACCACACGTTCAGCTGCATCCACCTGCTCCTCAGATGGATTCTGTGTTGGGTGCAAATGCATATTGCACGACATCCTGCCGTCTGTTTGTACGAGTATGTGTGTGCGAATGCATTTGGGTGTGAATGGAATGTTCGTGTGTTTGTTTGCTTTCGCAATTTTCGCTTGATGCATTTGCAGGTACTCGCGCAATGTGCGCTTCGGCACAACATTGTACGCGCTATGAACAGTGCAAGCAGAAAGGACGAGCTCGCAAAGGAACCCAGGATGGAAGCTTTGCAGTTCGGTTGAGTTGATTGCGCAGATTCAGTTCTATCCAACTCAAAATTGTACTGTTTTGTTTGGTTGACTGTAGTGTAGCAGGGAAGGCACTATAGGGGTACAATTTAGGTGAAGGTTGGATGTTGTTTGTCTGTATCTGCATGCTACAAGGCCAGGGGAAACCAGCAGAACCAGCATTTGGCTGGTTGGGCAAAGACAAAACAGGTTCTGTTATTAGAACCTGAACCTGGTTGTTGTTTTCCCAGGTTGGAAAAACAGAACCAGAGGTTGTTTACCAACCTACCACCTGCTATTTTGTCCAGCCAGGTTGGTTCTGTTGCTTGGAATTATTTGGGATCATCCCTGGTTGTTCCCAGGTTGATTCCCAAGGTCCTTGCTAGCTAGAACTATTTAATCCTTCTCTGTTTGTACCTGAATATAGTCAATTGATTCAAGCGAATTCCTTCCTCGCTGGAGTTTGGTTTCTGCGCTATTCGACAGCGGAATGCTACCCGAGTCAACGCTAGTACGCTAGCACTCCAACGCTAGGCAAACGCTGTCCGAGCCATAACTTCGTAATGGCAGAACTTTTCGCGAGGCAACTTGGCTCATTTCAAAGCTCTTGGAGCGAGCTTCGATATAGCGAATTCTCAGCTTAATCCGATCGACGGTCTGCACGGCACACTGCGCGACGTTCAAGGTACTCTTGCTGTTTTGACTAAGTCCTTCTTGATCCCTCTCTCTACAAACTCGGACCCGAGGATAGGGGCTGGTCTTGTACCAGGCACCCAGGGACCCTTGGAGGTGACCCCGAGGAGAGGTTTTAAGTTTGATTAAGTCCTAATAGCTTGAGTTTATTAGGCCCTTACACCAACAAGCTGGTATCAGAGCTGCGTTATAGTGATCCTCGTTATAGGTAGCTATGGCGGGCAACACCTCGGCGGGAGCTGGTGAATCTTCAGCCCAAGATCGTAGTGGCAGCCAAGATTCTGGTGTTTCGGCGCCAAGGGGAGCGCGAACCAACCAGAGCTCGCTCATCAAGGAGGTGCTGAAGAATTTCACCGTCGAGAAGTTCAATGGTGAGGGCTATGATGATTGGGCCTGGAAAATGCAGCTTTATTTCCGTCAGATCGGTTTGCTGAAACTAATGATTGGGGAGGAGCCTAGACCGAGTGACCCCGCCCTTCAGGAAGATTGGGACGAGCGCTCCTCGGCTGGCTACTATCTGATGTCGCAGAGTTTGGAGCTGAACCAGCGTCACCACGTCATGCATCTGCTGCCGGAGGTTGAATGCGGTCCGAAGGCGTGGACCGTGTTGAAGGAGCTGCACGCCCCGACCTCCGTTGTTGCAACGTTGATGCTGGAGAGGGAGCTGTCCGCGTTGCGCCTGAGCGAGGGAGAGCCGGTGCAACCTGTCCTGGACAAGATGCGCGACCTCTACGCGAAGTTGGCGACCGCGGGAATCACCTACCCGGAGCAGACCAAGTGCCTGAAGATGCTCTCGCTGCTGCCGGAATCGTGGCTTCAATTCACGAGCGGATTGAGCCTGCCGCAGAACCAGAGCTCGTGGACGCTCGAGTGGGTGCGGACGAAGATTCTGGAGGAGGACTTCCGTCGCCGCCAACTGAGGGGTGGGGACGACGGCAGCAGCGGCTACGGGATGCAAGGGAACCGACGTGGCAGAGGACGTGGCTTCGGTGGTGCTGGGCACGGTGCAAAGAAGGACGACGACTCCAACGACCAACAAGGAGGTACCGGTTGGGGTTGCGGTGCGAAATCTGGACGTGGGGGCAAGTCGGGTGCTGGTGGCAAAATGAAAGGGAGTTGCTGGTATTGTGAGAAGGAGGGGCACCCCTGGTTTTTGTGCTATAAGAAACCCGATGGATGGACCCCCCAGAATCGTCAACAGGATGGCGGCGCGCGAAGGAACCAGAAAAACGGCGCGAACATGGTCGCTGATTCGTCCGACAACACCCCGAAGAGCAACGGTGGTGCGGAGAAGAAGAAGGAGCGCACCGCAGGCCAGTTCTTCCATGCAGGAGACAAGGGCGAGCAAGGAGACGCATCTGCCAAGGTTGGAGCAGAGCTGCACCCCTTGGACTATTGGGTGTTGGACACGGGCGCTGCATGGACGATGACGCCGCGCAAGGATCTGCTGGACGACGTGCGCGCTGCACCGATCAATGAGGTGTGCTCCGCCTCTGGACACGCGCTGAAGGTGGCTGGTGCGGGACGAGCTGCGTTCAAGGGAGCGGATGGCAAGCCGGTGGTGCTGCACGACGTTCTCCTCGTTCCCGACCTCAAGGCCAACCTCATCTCCCTCCGTAAGCTTGCCAAGGCTGGGGTGAGCACTAGCACGGATGGGGCTCGCACGTACAAGGGGCAGCTGGGCAATCGGGTGCTTTGGGATCTGCACAAGAGCAAGGACGTGTACAGATCCATGTGGCAGCTGCCGGCGTTGGCGTGGCACGGTGGGGGGCAGGCTAGAGAGGGGTCTGCATCCCAGGGGGAGTGCAACACCGTTGGAGGGGTTGGCGTAAAAGTGTCGGCCAGATCTGGGGAGACAGATTGGGCAACGGCACACCGACGCTTGGGGCATGTGGCAATGCCCTTATTGAAGCAGCTGGAGAAGGATGGAGCTGTCAAGGGTTTGAAGCTGAACGGATAGCCACCCGATGACAACTGTGAAATCTGTTTGCTTTCAAAGTTCACCCGTTTCCCTTTCCATAGTGTGGCTGGCAGGAGCAAGAAGCCTTTGGAGCTGGTCCACATGGACTTGGTGGGGCCGCTGCCGGTGCAAGGGCACAAAGGGGAGCGGTATTTTCTTACAATTGTGGATGACTGGAGCAGGCTGATGTGGGCGTATCCGCTGAAGCAGAAGGACCACGCCGCCTCTACGATACGGGACGATTGGCTGCCGTTCGTGGAGAAGCAGGCGGAGTGTGTAGTGAAGCGGATTAGGACAGACCGGGGTGGTGAGTTCCTTGGAGCTGAAATGACGGCCTGGCTCAAGAAGCAGGGCATCCAGAGAGAGCTGACCACGGCTTACACCCCACAGTCCAATGGTGTAGCAGAACGGGCAAACCGGACCATTCTGGAGACAGCTAGGGCGCTGCTCATAGAATCTGGGCTGAGCAATTCTATGTGGCCTCATGCTGTCCGGCACGCCACCGTCGCTAGGAACAGGGTGCTCACCAAGGTTGGGGATGACTCGTGGGTGCCTTTGGAGAGGTGGCTTGGGAGGAAGCCGCCGGTGGACATGCTGAGGGTGTTCGGTTGCATGGCAGTCGCCCACGTCCCCAAGACCTACCGCAGTAAGTTGGGGGCAAGTGCAATCTGGTGTGTGCATTTGGGGCTGGCTGCTGAGAGCAAGGGATGGCTGCTGTGGGAACCATCCAAGGGTGTGTTGTTTGACAGCAGGGATGTGAAATTTATTGAGGGCATGATGTATGGGAGCTGGGAGAAACAGCCGGAGGCCCGGGTGTCCCAGCAGATGGAGCAGATCACCATGCAGCTAGACCTGACTCCTAGTGTGTGGGAGGAGGGAGAGGAGGCAGCTGCTGGAAATGGTGATGGAGAGAAGGTACAGGAGGCACCTGCTGGTGGAGAAAATGGTGTGGAAAGTGGCGGCAGCACTAGTGAAGCTGCTGGATCCAAGGGAGGAGAGCAGCAGCAGGGGAAAACTAAGAAGCCGAAGGGTGTCGTTATGAAGGGATGGGAGACACCCGTCTCCAGGCCAGGACGTACCCGTATGGCTACTAAGAAGCTGACTGCAGGAACTGATGCAGCAGAGCAGCAGCTAGGGACCGAAGAGGCATTGCTGATTCTACCGCATGGCTATGACCCGGATGAGGAGGATGAGCCTGCGTACTGTTTTCTTGCCCCTGCACCAGAGGAACCAGCTAGCATGGAGGAGGCATTAGCTGGACCAGATAGGGACAAGTGGCTGGCTTCTAGGGATGCTGAGTACCAGAGCCTGCTGGAGAATGGGACATGGGATCTGGTGGTGCTGCCTGATGGGAAGAAAGCGATACAATGCAAGTGGGTGCTGAGGATCAAGACCGATGACAAGGGGCAGGTAACCATCTACAAGAGTAGGCTGGTGGCGAAGGGGTTTATGCAGAAGGAGAAGCAGGACTTCAACGAGATCTTTGCTCCCACTGCCAAACCCCCTACCCTCCGTGTCTTGTTGGCAGATGCAGCTGTTAGTGGGAAATTCATCATTCAGATGGATATTTCAACGGCATTCCTGAATGGGATTTTAGAGGAGGATGTGTACATGATGCAGCCGCCTGGGTATGAGGATGGTACGGGCAGGGTGTGCAAGCTCAACAAGTCCATCTACGGCTTGAAGCAGGCGCCACGCTGCTGGTACCAGAAGTTGGCAGCTGTTTTAGAGGAGATGGGATTCAGGACCAGCAGCTGTGATGAGAGCCTCTTTCTCAAGGGCGAGGGGGAGAAGCTGGTGCTGTTTCTGGTCTACGTGGACGACATTCTTCTCTTCAGCAGCAGCATGAAGGAGATCCAGAAAGTGCAGCAGCAACTGATGGAGAACTTCAAGTGCAAGAACCTTGGGGAGGTAAAGTACTACCTCGGGATGCACGTGGAGAGGGATCCTGATCACAGGTGGTTGAAGCTGCACCAGGAGAAGTTCATCAAGGAGCTGGGGGAGAAGTATGGGATTGAGAATGAGCGCAAGGTTGCAACTCCCCTGCCAGCAGAATTCAAGCTTGTAAAGGCTGCAGAGGATGAAGGGGTTGAAGCCGAGGAGCAGCAGCAATTTCAGTCCTTGGTGGGCAGCCTCTTGTACGCAGCAGTTCACACGAGGCCCGACATCTCTCTCTCAGTTGGGCAGCTGGCTAGGGTGGTGCAGAATCCATCAGAGGAGCAGGTGGATGCAGCTGAGCGTGTGGTGAAGTACCTGAACTCTCACCCAAGCATTGGAGTTCAATACTCCGCATCTGCATAGGTGAAGCAGAAAGGGGTGGAGGTGCTGAAAGAGAAGGGGGAGAGGCTTGGAGAAGGCAAGCTCTTTCTCACTTGCTTTACCGATGCTACGTGGGCTTCTGAGAAGGAGGATTCCTCATCTGTGGGAGGATACATCTGCGTAGTTGGGGGAGGACCTGTTAGTTGGAGGTCCAAGAAGCAGACGGAGACGGCACTCTCTTCCGTAGAATCAGAGTACATGGCGATGTTCCATGGGGTGAAGGAGGTGATTTGGCTGAGGAGGCTGTTAGAGGAGATTGGCCAGGAGCAGAAAGTTGCTACGCCGCTGTTTTGTGATAGCAAGGGGGCTCTTGGGATGGCCAGGAACGCTGTGCTTCATGGGCTGAACAAGCACATGCGTATCAAGTGGCACTGGCTGCGTAAGGAGGTGAAGAGGGGGACGGTGAATCCGATCTACATCAAGACTCACCAGCAGCCAGCAGACTTTCTCACCAAGAGGCTTGCGGATGAGCCTCATTGGTGTTGTGTGCGCATGAGTGGAATGAGCATGAACTAGCATGGAATGATGGGGATGCAGCCGGCAGGCTGAGGGGGAGTGTGTTGGGTGCAAATGCACATTGCACGACATCCTGCCGTCTGTTTGTACGAGTATGTGTGTGCGAATGCATTTGGGTGTGAATGGAATGTTCGTGTGTTTGTTTGCTTTCGCAATTTTCGCTTGATGCATTTGCAGGTACTCGCGCAATGTGCGCTTCGGCACAACATTGTACGCGCTATGAACAGTGCAAGCAGAAAGGACGAGCTCGCAAAGGAACCCAGGATGGAAGCTTTGCAGTTCGGTTGAGTTGATTGCGCAGATTCAGTTCTATCCAACTCAAAATTGTACTGTTTTGTTTGGTTGACTGTAGTGTAGCAGGGAAGGCACTATAGGGGTACAATTTAGGTGAAGGTTGGATGTTGTTTGTCTGTATCTGCATGCTACAAGGCCAGGGGAAACCAGCAGAACCAGCATTTGGCTGGTTGGGCAAAGACAAAACAGGTTCTGCTTTTAGAACCTGAACCTGGTTGTTGTTTTCCCAGGTTGGAAAAACAGAACCAGAGGTTGTTTTCCAACCTACCACCTGCTGTTTTGTCCAGCCAGGTTGGTTCTGTTGCTTGGAATTATTTGGGATCATCCCTGGTTGTTCCCAGGTTGATTCCCAAGGTCCTTGCTAGCTAGAACTATTTAATCCTTCTCTGTTTGTACCTGAATATAGTCAATTGATTCAAGCGAATTCCTTCCTCGCTGGAGTTTGGTTTCTGCGCTATTCGACAGCGGAATGCTACCCGAGTCAACGCTAGTACGCTAGCACTTCAACGCTAGGCAAACGCTGTCCGAGCCATAACTTCGTAATGGCAGAACTTTTCGCGAGGCAACTTGGCTCATTTTAAAGCTCTTGGAGCGAGCTTCGATATAGCGAATTCTCAGCTTAATCCGATCGACGGTCTGCACGGCACACTGCGCGACGTTCAAGGTACTCTTGCTGTTTTGACTAAGTCCTTCTTGATCCCTCTCTCTACAAACTCGGACCCGAGGATAGGGGCTGGTCTTGTACCAGGCACCCAGGGACCCTTGGAGGTGACCCCGAGGAGAGGTTTTAAGTTTGATTAAGTCCTAATAGCTTGAGTTTATTAGGCCCTTACACCAACATTCTGCACCACCCTAGCCAGCTGCCCAACTGAGAAAGAGATGTCGGGCCTCGTGTGAACCGCTGCATACAAGAGGCTGCCCACCAAGGACTGAAATTGCTGCTGCTCCTCGGCTTCAACCCCTTCATCCTCTGCAGCCTTCACAAGCTTGAATTCTGCTGACAAAGAAGTTGCACCCTTGCGCTCATTCTCAATCCCATACTTCTCCCCAGCTCCTTGATGAACTTCTCCTGGTGCAGCTTCAACCACGTACATCCTGAGGTAGTATTTCACCTTCCCAAGGTTCTTGCACTTAAAGTTCTTTATCAGCTGCTGCTGCACATTCTGGATCCCCTTCATGCTGCTGCTGAAAAGAAGAATGTCGTCCACATAGACCAGAAACAGCACCAGCTTCTCCCCCTCCCCCTTGAGAAAGAGGCTCTCATCACAGCTGTTGGTCCCGAATCCCATCTCCTCTAAAACAGCTGCCAACTTCTGGTACCAGCAGCGTGGCGCCTGCTTCAAGCCGTAGATGGACTTTTTCAGCTTGAACGCCCCGTACCATCCTTATACCCAGACGGCTGTGTTATAAACACATCCTCCTCTAAAATCCTGTTGAGGAATGCCGTTGATATATAAGTCTGAATGATGAATTTACCACTAATGGCTGCATCTGCCAACAAGACACAGAGGGTAGGGGGTTTGGCAGTGGGAGCAAAGATTTCGTTGAAGTCCTGCTT